AGTGTGTCTGTGTGTGTGTGTGTGAGTGAGTGTGAGTGAGTGAGTGTGTGTGTGAGAGTGAGTGTGTGTGTGTGTGTGTGTACATACCGAGCTGGTGAACCAGGTGGAGCTCTCACACACATCTGAGACTCCGAAACAGAAGCACTCGGTGCAGCCCTCAGGATTACTGTCCTGTAGGTTATAGAAGCCCTGCTTACACAGATCACAGCTAGAGCCCATCACATTCACCTGCGGAGAGAGAGAGAGATGAGGATTACAGCCCTGTACAGCCTAACACATGAAATAATAGTCAGAAAAATCTAACATGGTAGTTTAATGAACCTTTAGACAAATATAAAAGCTTTTGATATTTGCTCCATCAGGCGTTTATGCCTCATATAGTCTGACATAGTGAGAATATGGAGGAAAAGACCCAAACTGACCAAAAATATGCAGTTCGGTGCAGATGCAGATATTTATGTGATGAAATTCTGCTGCTTGTAATGGAAATCAGTGAGATCTTTCTAACAGTATAGAGCAGATACTGAGATAAAATGATCTAAATATTAGTCGTGGCTCTATATCTCCAGTAATCTGTCTCAGTAAGATGAGATTGAAATGCTCCAAACATATAATGCAGTGATTGAGAGCTGAAGAAATAAAGGCTCCTCAGAAGATGTGAGATGTTCTGGAGGCTTGTGAAGATCATTCCTCCGCTGAGGAACAGTGAAAGTAACGCTTCTGGAAACAAACGCTCCTCAAAAGATCCTGAGGATCAGATTTGAGACTCTAAAACATGATTGATGGAGAATCAAGTAAAGCTGAGCTGCTTCAGTCCACACTGTAAAAAGTCATTAGTTGAACTTACTTGGAAAACCTGTGGAAACTGATTGCCTCAAATTTCTCAAGCAAATTATCTGGAGATATTACTGCAGTTATTCTGACGCTTACTTGATCAAAATCAGTCAAGGTTTGACACGAGAAGCTCGAGCTGAAGCTGGACGTTTGTACAATTACACTAAAAGAGCTTTTACTGGATAAAACACTCTAAACTATCAACCAGACGACAGAAAGCATGAGGAGACAGAGTGTGAAACAGCAAAGTTTTGATCAGTTAGAGATTTAGAAATTCACATCTGTCACTCCTCTTGTTTTCTTGTTGTTGTTTATTTACTTGCTGATGCCGTCAGTGAAATGTGTGTGTGTGTGTGTGTGAGTGAGCGAGTGTGTGTGTGTGTGTGTGTGTGTGCGTTTCACAGTACCTTGCACACACACTCGCTGCAGGGGTCGACGTTGTGGCTTCCAGCCAGGTTACACTCGCAGCGAGTGCATTGTGGGAAATCCCTGAATCCGAACGCACAGCGGTCGCACTTCTCACCCGCAAAACCCTCCTTACACAAACACTGACCGGCGGACAGACCTGCAAAACACACACAGCAGCATCAGCTCAAACACTGCTGCGTTCAGACACACTGCATCCAGACGAGTAGATGAAGCCAGACTCCACCTGCGTCGGAGTTCGCGTGATTATCGTCTCTGATGCACACGGGACTCGCAGAACCTCTCGTGTTACACTGACACTCGACACATGGGTTATCAGCGTACGGAGACACCTGAAACACACACACACACACGTCAAGACGCTTCACATTTACAGAATTTAAAATATTCATCGAATTTAAAATAAAAATCCACATTCAAATGCAAAAACGTTGCATTCTAATTTTAGGTGTGCATCAGGCTGCCTTATCAGTGGCACACGAGATGCGATGACGATAATAACAATGTGTTTAATTTATATAGCACCTTTCCCAGGCTCTACAAGGTACACCAATACAACAAATACTCATTGCAAAGTAGCAATTAAGTGGTCATTGGACATTTGCCCAATCCAGTCACAAATAATGCAGCTGCATATAACACAAATTAAATAATAAAGACATAGAAAAGAATACATATGGGACAAATACACAATGCTATTTAGTGATAGTGTTGATTAAACAAATATGTTTTAAGCTTTGATTTAAATTCACTGAAAGAGGTAACTGTTCCAAGAGGAGCGAGTTCCAAAGTTTGATAAGATAAGAGGAACCTAGGCACACAAAGTAGTTCTGAACTAGAAGACCAGAGTGAGCGAGAAGGAATATAGGAAGAGAGTAGGTCAGAAATATAGGACGGAGCAAGTATAGTCTGTCTTAGATTATGTATATGTATAGTCAATTATTTATAATACACTACAGTTAGATTACCGCTTTCAGTAAGTTAGCTAAGTATAGGTTTAAAAAATTGTTTCTTACGTCTAGTGTTATATGTTTATGTTTAAATATGTAGCACCGTGGTCCTGTGAGACACAACATTTCGTTCCACTGTATGTCCACACATTTAGCAGAATGACAATAAAGCTCTTTAAACTTGACTTGACAACAGAGACATTAACGAGATCTCACACACACACACACACACACACTCTCTCTCACACACACACACACACACTCTCTCACACAAACACACACTCACACACGCTCACACACCAGCTATCCTTGTGGGGACTCTCCATAGGCGTAATGGTTTTTCTACTGTACAGACCGTATATTCTATTGCCCTACACCAACCCTACCCCTAAACCTACCCCTCACAGGAAACTTTCTGCATTTTTAGATTTTCAAAAAACTTAATTCTGTATGATTAATAAGCTTTTGTACCCGTGGGGACCACAATTTAGGTCCCCACCATGACACGAGTCCCCACGAGTCTGTGTGTAGTTCAGGTTTAAGTCCCCACCAGTATATATAAACCAGTACACACACACACACTCACATAACTCACACACACACTCACACACACGCTCACACACTTTATTCTTTTATTTGGATCCACAAGACAAGCAACAAAAACGGAATCCAAATACCTTGGGAAGTCAGTTTGCAAGATGACAGGTACATATGGCTAACATACATTCACAAGTCCTTATATTTATAACATTCAACACTCAAGGATAGACAAAACTCACACTCACACTCACACACACACACACACACACACACCTGGTGTGGTCTGTAGTATCCGTCCGCACAGGTTTGGCAGTTCACTCCCGCTGTGTTCTGCGAGCAGTTCACACACACTCCTCCTCCCACAAACAGACCGAGTGTGTTCACGCTCAGCCGCAGATCTGCCACCGTCTGGTTGTAGTAACAGTCGACAGCTTTGTTGTGACAGTTACATTCTGATCAACGAGACAGAAAACACAGAGATCAGGAGGCTCATGATCGGTTATAGATGAAAGTGTGTTTGTTTTTGTGCTTAAGTGAATCCCACAAAATATGTCCAGGTCATTTTTCATCACAACACCAAGTGATCATAAAGATATTTTGCATTGTGACTAAAATTTCAGTTACTGTAATGCAAAATTAATAATAAAATATACAATACATATTATATTACATATTTAAATAAAAAGATAAAATATACTTTTATTATCTACGTATACATAAAAATATTTATTACATTTAATAAATTAATTAATAATGTAATTGATAAAATATTTATAAATTAATTTACTTTAAATAATGATCTTTATTTTTAATAAATATATAAATGTATTTGTCTTTTCTGTATTGCAAGCCTAAAAGGGATTTTTTTTTTTTTAAAGAATAGAATTAGAATAGAGAGTGCTAGAGTTAGAGGGTCAAATAAAGATGGAAGAGATGTGTTTTTAGTCGTTTCTTGAAGATGGTTAAGGACTCGGCTGCTGGGATTGAGTTGGGCAGGTTATTCCACCCACAGGGAACAGTTAATGTAAAAGTCT